ATGGTTGCATTTGAAATATACCATATATATATATATATATATATATATATATATATATATATATATCAAAACAAGAAAAGAATCTATCGGCCCCATATAAAGAAAGCACCATTTTTGACCACCCTATTTTTTAATATATATATTTTAAATTAATTTGTCCTTATTATTCTAAATTAGTCGACTGCTTGCCTTACCGGAAATAGTAGATGATTACCCTAAAAATTAATGTCACATAAAATTAACCACAAAAGTGGTGTTTGATTGGTTTAAGCTTGACTCCAAATGTTAAAAGTATCAGAAAGTCCCAGGTTCAAATTTAATAAGGAATAAAAATCCTCTTGTGACCACAGATGTTCAAATGCGGTGACTTCGGGCTATCTGCAAAGCAGATGATCGTCCTGGAATTAGTCGGCTCGCATAGCGGGTTGGATATCCAGGTTAATATAAAAAAGTCACATAAAGTTATATTTTTTGTAAAATGAATTAACTGTTGTTTTACTCTGGTGACATGGTACAAATAACGAAATATTGGTGGATTGTTATACATCAAAGATAAAATCAGTATCTTTAACTATTTTAATTGGTCTCCATTTAAACACGACAAACTTTCATGTATAATATATACACAGACATACAGTTAAACTCCTTTTATTTAACAGGTTATATCTCGGTTTTTCGTCTCATTAGATAAATAAAATATATTTATTTATCCCTAAACTTTAAAACTAAATTTACGTAATTTAAAAAATACAAGAATATGAATATAAAAAGGATTAAGGGGCCAAGAGATGTGGCATGTATGATTGGCATATCCAAAGTAAGTTGTTGAGGTTTCCATGCATTACTTAAAACCAATCCTTTTTCATGCCTTGCTGGAACCAATCATTTGCCTACGTATTTTTCTATCTAACATTTCACCCACCACACAATACAACAAATCCATACTCTTTCTATTGCTTAATAATTTGATGAAAATTATATGATATATGTCGACCGGAGATGTTTATATGTTTGAACGACTTATCGCTCTAACTATATAAGCTTAATGTTTAAGCCAACATTTTTTTTTTCTCTTCTGATTTCTACGATTTGATGTAAGAAGGGTATATTAAATAAGTTTAACTGGTTATTATCGTTACGGTTGTATGTTCTTTTTCCTATTAAGCTCTCTTTAAAACAAGACAAATGAGTACGTATGGACCATACTTGACGACTGTATTCAACAATCGAGCAGAAAAACAAACATATTTAATAACCGATGATTTTAATTAAAAAAAAACAAACGTACCCTTGTGGGGAAAAAACAAACATTCCCTAAATAAAGAAAAAGTTTGTGACCATACATGAAGTTATGTATGCAATTAATGTCTTTTTCCTAATGGACTGTATTTTTCTGTCGTTTGGTGGGGTTTTTTTTTCTATTAGTTTCTTACCATCCAAATTCCAAAATATTCTCTACCAAAGCCTTTTTAGCCAATGACAATGCATCCAACACATAATACAAAACCTATGTCCCTCTCACCTTACAACTCCAACTCTTTATTCCTTCAATGACAAGGTGTTTTTGAAATCCATCCATGATTTTTTAACAGGTTTTTAGACATTCTTCGGTTATGTCAAAAGGTTATGGATTAAAAAAAACAACTGACAAAAGGTCATTATAACGAAGGACCCTAAAGAGGAGTGTAATGCAATCACTACCGTTTGAAATGCATGCCATTTTCCATATTCTACCATCTCTTTAATAATCAATGAGCTATACTGCGTAAACTAACATAACAACATGCATATTCTACCAAGAGACCGATACTGGCATTCGATTCCTTCACATCTGGAGAATAATGTCATTTAGTCATATTGCTTTTTTTAGTGGCTATACCATCGACAATTTGTCATATTCGACCATTGCTTCAAGAATCAACACATTTAACCACGTAACAAAGACTAAACATGCATATTCTACCAAAAAGTGATACCTGCATCAATTTCCATCTTGGACGTACAGGATGCATATGTAGATAGTAACGCACTGCAAACATCACTCTTGAAGAATCAATGAGATTAGCGCGTTATTAACACCAAACCCACATGTTTTACCAATCATTTAGTTTCCAAGCAAAAAAACAAACCAACTCTTTTGTGACCTAACAAGAAAGTGCATATCTGTATCAGCTGTACTTGGGTGCAAATACACACCATACATGTGATACTGCATGGCATTAAAGCTGCGAACACAGCCCTACAACATAATGCATGGCAAAGAATTGCTCACCCACATATTATTCATATATATATATATATATATATTTATAAACAAACAAAAGTTTCCAAAGCGAAAATGGTCACGTTCTCATGACCAAAAAAGAAACTTGGATGTGCACCCTATATGGCAACTCTCATTGGTGTTAACATTGTAGAAGCTAACCATGCAGCATTAAAATCTGCATGAGCTGTCTTAAGGTGCAACACACACTATACATGTGATACTTTGTGTTGTTATGGATAGACTAACACAAGCCTACCAGCAAATATAGTAAAAAGCCTTTTAGCATATCATAGTCCCAACTTGGAAAAGCAAGTTTGATGTAGGCCTTAGGTCTAGGCTAGAAACTATGGGTAAGCAAATGAAGATAAGGTTTTATCGTCATGATAATCATACAACTACTTGGGACTTTTTTTGTCTCAACTGAAACACAAAGGTTGAAGTTGAACCATGTAATCAATACAAGTAAAGGAACCACGGAAAACCTATGCCTACCATTCAGCACAAACTATATTATAGTGGCCCAGCTAGATTTGCTACATTTAATTGGAAGATAACCTAGAGGTCTTGAGTTTGCATCCTACATGTGTGTATAGCTTAGTATATTACCAAAGGTACATTAACATGCTGGTGGTAGAAAAAAAAGAAACACATGTATGTTCATCACTATGGTTAAGAAACTTAGTTTCACAAAAAGCAATCCCTCATTAGCTCACTACGAGTGCTATTTAGTAGCACAAGTTTTCAGTCTAAACTATGGACTTCTTTCTATTCCTAGCCTAATTCTACAGGATGCCTAAACTTTATGGCAGATGCAAATCAAATTTCCTTATATCTATCTTCTGAGTTGGATTAAAGCCATTCTATATTGAAGGCTGGGTTTAGTTGATCTTTCTGAAGGGCTCCAAACTAACAAAGTTTCTTCTGCTGCTTACTTAGGACATTGCCCGTGATATGTAAAATGCCAAAAGCCAACATGTTTAACTTCCTTTGCCTAAATCAACAGTCATTAAGGGGATCATGATATTGAATTAATAACCATGTGAAATGACTTCAATAGAACTATTGACAAGTTCATCAAGGTAAGTAATTCATTTCCCTATAGTAACAATCATCAAGATGGATCACGATATTGAATTAAAAACCATGTGAAATAACTTCAAAGCAAGTATTGACAGGTTCATTAAGGTAACTAACTAGCATTACAGTTTGGTTGAAGAATCACAGAGGAAACCAATGATCTTTAGACTTCAATGGAAGCATTTGTATGTACTGTGGCCAATTAACATGTAAACAATATAAATGTTATATGTAGCAGGCAAAGGACAGTCGAATAAAATTGTTCGTGAGGGAGAGTTAGTTATGGCTTCAATCTTTCCAACAGTTTCCGGGCTTCAATAAATCCACCTAGCGGTCCCAAAGATGAGTATTTCACCCTTCTCCACCTGTTCTTTAAGTTCTTAAAGATTAAACTGGTTGTTTGCAGACATTTTTAGAGTGTATTAATCATCTCAACAAAAATAAAGAAGTTATGTGATGAAACAAAATATGCACACCTGGGTACATATGGAAGTGCCAAACAGTGAAGGTGGAGATGATTTACGCTGTTCAAGGGAGGTTGATGAAAACCAAATCTGGTTCAAGGAAAAAATGTATGTAATGATAAGCAAGACTTCTGCATGCAAAGAAAATATTATATATTTCCTTTCCTTAAACTGGCTTTGTCCAATTAGATTCCGAAGGTTTAAAACCTGGCCTGGGTTTCAGTAAGAGTAAGCAAATTGAACAAAACCTATCAACTTTTAGCCAAGAAAGATATAAGATATTGGCATTCGGACAGTTAGCATAAGTTGCACCAAAGTGTTGTGGTTGTCTAGACTCCTGTATATTAGCATCTGAAGATCAGGGTTAGACGGTCAGTGGATCTGAAAGTGAATTAAACATGTTCATTTATGAAACTTGCTACCTGTACTGAATGGAATTAGGTGCATCTCTGCTTAGCAACGTTTGCCCCACATTTAACATATGACTGACTGGAAAAGAAGATAACAGAAATCAAACATTGAACAAGAGAAAAATTGACAAATAATCTTGAAAATTGGCTAGAAAACTTATTGCTTTCTGCAATACCCAAAGAATAGTCTTCTGTCCTCCTTCGGAGGTCCTTAACTGTTGCAATGTGATCCACAGGAATCACTAAGTAATGCCTATCAAAGTAAACACCATAGGGTCAAGTTATATCACAACCAAAATCTAATGGCATATGATGCACATGGAAAGAGTCCTGTTTCAAGATGAGTCCTAGCACTGTTATTGGTACATGCTTCTTGAGATATCAAGAGGGTTTCAAGTTGGAAATGATGCCTATGAGCCTATCAATGTACACACTCATTTCAAGTTGGTATGCTTCTGAGATTTCTAAGGATAAGGTTGGACATATTTTATTATTTCATTGACTCTACTTAGGTTCCTGTAATTTGTATTACGATGATGCAATTTGGAAAGTTAGACTTGGTACACTAGAAGCAGTATTGCTCTGAATAAGGAGTACAGTAGATACCATATTTATTGGACTAATTTTCAATATCTTACAGTTAAAGATTGGATATAGGAAGGTAAGGGAAAGCTGTTATGACTTAACTTAGCAAACCTTAAGCCAAAACCAGTTAGCCTAGGCTAAAGCGCATCAGTTAGCTCATCTCGATTAATTGTTTTACTCCATCGTCACTTATATATGGGCAGGTCCTCGATTTATTCCAATTAGTCACGCCCCTTGCTGAAATTAGTTTTGGGCAATTCAACCTTGACCAATGCTATTCTCTTATCAGGAATCACAACTCTTTAGTCTTTAGCAGTGCATTTAAATTTCTATATAGGAGATGGACAACAGTTGCATGCATATAGTGATCACTCTTTTTCTCCTTGATTGATGCTAGCCAACCTTCTTCTACCACTCCTCGTTTCTCTATCATATCCACTTGCATGTGGCTATACATCCAAGTAAACATCTGAACTTAAGCAAATCTAGTTGTACGTTCATGTTGTCTCTAGAAGGCCCAACACTTGGACGCATATTTTTTATCATTTAAAGAGCCCTTTTGAAGGAGGAAATAGTAAAAGGAAAAAGGACTCGACTACTTGTATTCTGTCTATCAAAGAGCCATTTTGAAGTATCACATATCAGGGCATTAGAAGCAAACTTTGTTACTATTTATGATCACAAACCCATATTACCTATGTAATGGTATAAACAAAATAATTAATAAGAGATTACCAAACCACAATCGGACCACTAAGAGATACAACAATTACTATACTTCAGGAAAAATATTCCATGTCATAGTATCATGCAGACAAATAATATGAAGATAAAATTCAGGTCTACAACTGGGTGGGATAAGAATAAGAACAGAGAGAAGAAGGGTGGACCACAGTCAAAAATAATAACAACGGATATACATAAAAAAGAAACTGAACTGTGTACTTCTATATTGACTATCGAAGAGCCATTTAGGAGCATCAGATATCAGGGTATTAGGATCAAACATTTATTTATGATCACATATCTGTTTTACCCATATCCTATGTAATGGTAGAAACAAATTAATTTATTAGAGACTTTGAAAGCACAATGGGAACCATTGAGAGATGCTTTGGGAAAAAAATTCCAACCCATATAGATGGCTAAAACAATCAAATGTTCACCAACAAATTGCAAAAAAGTTCACTGATTTTTCTTAGATTGCAGAGGCTGATAGATTTCTCACAAACAACCCTTAATTTCCCGATCTAAATTTTTATAAGTTCAAACTACACACCTTCACCAATTATCCAGCTCATATTTTTGTACTCAATTGGTTGATTGTTATTAGATAGATTAACATTTCCTCCAGGAAAAGCAAATGTACCAATTAGTACGGAACTGCATAAAATCTCCTAATTCTTGTAGTCTCTGCTTTCTCTTTTATTTTCTATTTTAATGGCAAGATCACCTAATTCCTTTTTCTCCCAGGACAAGTGATACATATGAATAAGGCCACAAAGGTGAAAAACAAAAATTCTAACAAGATACATATGAAAAGGACATAATACAGAGGAATTGGTACAAGAAAACCTAAAGTGGAATAGTTGATCATTAAGCCACGATTTCAACCGAGCAGTATCAGCAATAGTGGAATAGTTGAAAAAACAACATTTGACAGCCAATAAGCATTAGTGTGGTTAGAATGTTAGAATGCTACATATAGTTAGAATGCTTAAGGTTTTTGAATGTCACCGACAAGGGATAATTATCACAAGTTCACAAAAAATGAACCTGAAAGCAACACCTCATACAAGCAAACATAACACTGAAGTCCCTTGAAACTAAAACAAATTTCATAAAGAATAGTACATTCGATTCCTAGTGACCATCTAAGTTCAACATCATAATTCATACATATCAGTATGTCAAGGGAGGTTCACTGGGACTAATATTGTTCAAAACCCGTTCAACCCTTGTACTCTAAGTCGCAAATAGATAGATTCTTTACCCACTTCAAATATAATAAGAATTGAAATTTCAACATAGAAAGTCATTCTCAGTACCATTATAAGAAAAGTTCTATTCTGACTGTGCTTACATAAGCTCACTTTCAGACTATCGAGCACGGTTAACGAAGCAAAATTAGACTCTAACGCAAACGAATTATGAGTTCAATCGGAAAAATCACAAATCACGCACACTGATTAACGTAACGTGCGCTCTAATCATACTTAAACTTCATCAGTAACATCAATTTTCCACATGAGAATAGCTTGAATTCTTTAACATAAACAACATTCAACGTAAATTATTGGGATTTGGGAAGAATCCAAATGAAAGAAGATACCTGGAAGCTGAAGGATTGATGTCTTGAAACGCAACAACCTTTTCATCCTGCAAAAATCAAAAGGTGACATCAAATAACAAGGAAATCATCGAAATCGGAGAACGTAAGTGTCAATAATATCAATTTTGCAAGTTGTGTGCCAATTAGGGAAAGAGGCCGGACGGTGTGGAGGAGAGTAGTGGTGGTGGATGAGCGAGCAATCTGACAAAAGATGCAGGATGGGGAAGCTGCCGCCGTTCCCGCCATTATCTGCCCGCCCCGATGACAGTCGTTCTCCTTCGTCAGACGGATCCTCCTACCATACGATATTAGCAAAGAGGATATGCACAATTAGGCCATCATTCTTTTATTTTTGTACAATATCAGTCCCTAATATTCAAATTTGACCCTGATTTATGTCCACAAGATGTAATAAACATTTGAGAAAAAACAACGCAAATAAGAAAATCGTTGAAATGTTTTTTAACTTTATCTTTAGATCTTAAATACTACACTCATCATAGAAGTTTATCAGATCAGACCATCCTTATAATATACAAAGAAAAACTACAGATGTTTGAGATACATGGTCTTACGACTTTGCGAAGACTTGTGTTTTTGGTAAATAGTTACCCGTGTCTGGTCACTGCAACCCCTTTTATGAGAAGGTACCCCTTCTCTCGAACTTACGAGACTATTTGGCCGAGTTCTTTAGAGAGAGTTGTCTCACGTCCCTAAGTATTCTCTACCTACCCATCTGTGTCAGTTTCGGGTACAGGTACTCGTTGTTGAAGGTCGTTCGTTAACAACTCGAAGGTATTTTTCTTGAAATTTAAAGATTTGTCTAAGGATATTTTGTGTTACAAGTCGATGGTTCTTTATAAAAACATCTTTTACCCTGATATTGTACTTATGCATGAGATTTGTTAGATCCATTTGGTTTAGGAGAAAAGTGTGAAAGGTTAAGGGCCAAATGTGCATTTCTCAATTCTAGAAACAAAAACGGGTTCAAATGAAACCCGATCAACAGCTGTTTATCCGGGCTAAACCCGAGGTTTAGAACTAGAAAACCTCGGTGGAGAAAACCGCCGAAAGTAATGCGTTGTCAACTCCAAACCCTAGCTCGCATCGTCTCCGTCGCTCGTACACCTGCCGGCGGTAGACGTCGGTCAAGCAAAGCCGTAAGTCGATTAATGAGCACTAAGTCAACCGGTCTTATGTTCCAGCTCAAGGTCAATCCGCTCACCGGTAACTCGGAGTGGGTAGTGATTGAAGAAGAAGTCGATGCTATCTCACCTAAACCAACGCTGGCGACCACTTCTTACCTCGATATGCTCAATGACGCTCCGAGAAACAGAGCCTATCGAAATGCTATTGATAGAACTGTTTCGAAACAATGTCATGTTCTGGATATTGGGTATGGAATCACATTACCATTTTCTATCGGCTGCTTCTATTTTTCGTTTCAGAGCTCATACTATCGTGCTTCATGCTGGTAAAAGAAATTAATCGCTTGTGTGTAATTTATGAAACGGTCTATCAGTATATATTTGTGACATCATCTATTAACCGAGAATGTAAATTGTGATCGGGTTTAAAGAGACGTTTCATTTATTCACTGCTTTAGTTTACCTCAATTCTCCATTTCCCATTTTGCAAGTCCTGTCTCATTATACTAGCGACAAGTAAATTTTACCCACGAGCATTCCATTCTCCATTTCCTATTTTGCAGTTCCTGTCTCAATTATACTCCCCACAAATAAATTTTCCCAAAACCACATCTTCAATTCTCCTCACACCTTATAAATTGACAATATAGAAATCAAATGGTCAAAACCAAGAGTTATTCAGAACAATTTCCATTTTAAAAGTTCTTTGAAATTTAAATTGGTGTTTGTCCCTACTGAATGATGATTCAAGTCCTCTAAAACCAGTTATTTCACAATTACCGATTTCTTATCGCTAGTACCTTCCGAAGTATCATCATTCCGGTCACCAGAACCTCTATGTAATTTGCAAGGGAAAGGCATGAGCTTTGGTAGGTTTGCTTTTTTAGGAAATATTTAGAGAAATTTGTTTGTAACTTAATGGTTTTTTTGATAAACTCGTAAATTATTAATGGCTGGACAACACAAACCTTTTAGCTGATCCTCGTTTCTGTCCTTTTTGTGTGTGGGGGCATGTAAGATTAGAGTAAGAATTTTCACAACAAAGTTTCCATGTTCATGGTTTGATGGACCATGTTACACACTTGCATAGTAAAGGATTTTGTGGTTGCTGAAAAATATTAATTTTAGTGCTCTTGGGTAGATCTGGAACAGGCTTGCTATCAATGATGGCTGCACGAGCTATGGGCATTGACGACTTATCAGAATGCTCAAAATCTAAAGGAATGGTCACTGCCTGTGAATCATACCTTCTTATGGTCAAGTTGATGAAGAAGGTTTTACGTGCCAACAACATGGACCGTAAGATTCGTGTTTTAAACAAGAGATCAGATGAACTAAAAGTTGGTGTTGACATTGCTTCTCGTGCGGATGTTCTAGTGAGCATAGTTTGTAACCTATTTTACTTGCATCAAACTACTATTTTAATAAAGAGAAGTAATAATAATCAATGGTTTATATATTGCAACCGTAGGTTAGTGAAATACTGGACTCAGAGCTCCTGGGTGAAGGGCTGATCCCTTCTCTTCAGCATGCACATGATAAGCTATTGGTGGAAAATTATCGGACCGTGCCTTATAGAGCATCTACTTATGGCCAGGTGATTAATGGAACTTGTTGCTATTTTTTTCTTCATGTCCATAAACATTGTGAATATTGTTTATTTTATCTTCTTTATTCATCTGCTATCCAGGGCACCCAGTAAACTGTGCTATCTCTGGTTCGCTAATGTTCCCCTTAGACCCATCAAACTCATGTTGGAAGGACAGGGGTTGCGCATCATTTGGATCTTTATTTGCAAATTGTTAATATTACTTGGTTCCATTTGTTAATGTCTGAAAGAGGAATATGCAAGTAAAGGAAGCACTTGCGAAAGCCAGATAATCAATAATTTCTTTTCAAATGTTTCAATTCTTCCAGCTGGTGGAAAGCACATATCTATGGAAGCTGCATGATCTATTTAACAATGAAGCAAATTTAATAGATGGGATTCATCTTGTTCCAAAAGGAAAGGAGTGTATTTTACGAGTCAAACCACAGCAGTTTGCTATGCATTGTGATGCAATGGGCGAAGAAATTCGACTGGTATTTGTAAATATATTTTCTTTATAAATTTCTTTTGGTGAAGTTCTTTTCCTCCTCAGTTTAGTATCTATCCAGCTGTCAGAACCTTTCAAAATTTTTGAGTTTGACTTTTGGAAACGGCCAGACAGTCACGGACAAACCCAGGTACATATAAAGGCAACTGATGATGGTACAGTTCATGCTGTTATTTCATGGTATGGTATTTTGGAGTAGGCAATCATTTTCTATCAAAAGATTGTTAAGATGCTTGTATCTTGATTTTTTCTTTTTTTATTGTAATTTTTACTTTTTATGTTTTAGGTGGGTGCTTCAGCTTGATGAGGAAGGGGAGATTTTTTATTCCACATCCCCTAAATGGATAAATAATCCACTCTCAAAGAATGGATTACCATCTTCATATCCATGTGAGTTTATTTGTTTCATTGATTTCATATGTGACAACCATATTGAGAAAATATCTTTTGCATGAAGGCTGGGTAGAGTTTTCCTGATGATATGTTTCAACAAATCAAAAATGTAATCAAACAATTGAATTTTGATGTTGTTAGGATGAATTATCACGAGCAATTGTAAATGCAGTTAATGAAAAGATCAAACATAATATTTACATGTTCAACAAATTGTTTACCTCCTGGTTGTGCTAGGATTTTTTTTATATCTTATGAACTAAGCAGTTACTGCTATAGCGGAAAACAGATAGTGGTTTATGTAATAAATAAAAGTAAGTACATATATGGGGTACTTAATATATTATGTTTGTGATACATATCTAATAGTAATACTCAATAAAAACACAAAGTTTCGACATTATAAAGTTTTTCATGATCAAGTCTCAAAATCAAATGATAAAGTCGCAAAATCAATAGTGGATTCTTTGAAGGAAGACTGCTCCATTATAAGCACCCAACAATTGTAATCTTTGTCTTCCAAAGTGTGGGGTGGGGGATAACTCGAAATCATGGAATGGTTTGCAGTGGAGAACAGTCTATATATCCAACCTATACCCTGTAGGGTGTATATTTAGACGTTTTAAGTGAGAAATCTAAATTTAAGGAGAAGATATTCAAGTATGCATAAAGAATAAAGAACTTCTGTTTATGTAACTTGAGGATTGACTACGATCCTTCTCACATAAAACGTATTTTATAAAATAATCTGTTATGTATTTCTCTTTTCCACATTAGGATTCTATAATATAGCTGTAGTAGTACCTCTGTAGGTACCAGGGATTGGTGCGACCATTGGAAACAGTGTGTCTGGTTCAGCAAAGGGAAAGGTTTGCCGGTGTACAAGGATGGGGATGTTTGCATGGATGCTACTCATACAGAAACTAGCATCTCATATGAATTTGAGGCTCAGTCACAAAGATCGGAGGTATATCATCTTGAAGTTAGCACCCAAGACTCTCACATCCAAGACTCTCACATCAATCTCTCACCTGAAAGAATTGCAATCTATGGAGATAGCCACTGGAGACTTGCCATTTTAAAGGCCCTAAACTCTGCTGTACTCTCTCTTTCTCTGTATCTCAGTATAGATATACGAGTGTTGACACACATCATGTTGGTGGATTTGCTAATTAGATATCATGTCATTGCAGTTGCAAAAGAAAGACTCTCCTTTGTGTGTTATTGCAGATGATAGCATCTTTTTAACAATTTCCGTTGCTCATCTTTCCAAGACATCGCACATAATAGCGTTGTTTCCTGGTCTTCGGGAGAAGGGATCCCAATACTTGCAAGCTGTTGCTGATGAAAATGGTTACTCAATGGATAGGATAGAGGTTATAACCACAAGGAAACAACAATGGACTATGAATGATACTCATCAAAAGAAGGTTACTGCACCTACTTCAGCTTCTTCACATTTTGAAAATGTGCTTCTATTGAGTGTACTTAATTATGATGCAAGATCTTGCAGTTCGGATATTGTTATTCCTCTTTCAGCTTGTCTTCTTATCCATAGTTAACACCAACTGTTACTCTTCAGTCGTATACTACTTCAAATTACCAATAACTGAAAAAATAGTTAGGGTTACTTTCATTACTGCAACAAACTATAGCTGTATCCAAACACCTTTTGATTTCTTGTCTAATGTCCAGGTTGACCTTTTGATAGCAGAGCCGTTTTACTTTGGTGCAGAGGGGATGCTTCCTTGGCACAACCTGCAGTTTTGGTAAATATGGAGTAACATTATACGTGTAGTATGTAATCTGAGCTTTACTTTTCCATATGTTAAAATGATAGTAGGATTTAGCGTGGTTTTATTAGAATAATAGGAAAACCCTAGAATGCATAAACAGTTCTTGTGGAAGCTTGATTCCACACGCATGAGAATCCTCTGTTTCTGTATGATCACCTATACATAAAGGTCGTTGTGGCCTATTTTTGTACAAAAAGTAAAAGAAACCTCAAAGGACTTAAATGACCCATGGTCTTTTTGTTAGACAATTGCTATCTTTATTATAGGTCATTTACCTAAACTGGTGCTTCTCATTTTCAAATGGGTTTGTAGGAGCAAAAGAACGATGCTTGATTCCATCTTATCTGAAGATGTGTGCATAATGCCTTGCAAAGGAATTTTAAAGGCTTGTGCAATGTCTCTCCCGGTAAGCATTTATCAATCTGCAACTGTAATTTACATTCCACCTGTTCAGAGGGAAATGCATATTCCCTTTTTGCCCTTCCAGGAAACAGCTTTCCTAGAAAAGCTACCCAAAAATGCTTAATCCCAGCTACTGCATTCTAGTGTCAAATCATAAATTTAGTTTTTAGTTTCATTGTTTGACGGAAGTGAAAGTGTAGGATCTTTGGAGAAGTCGCCGTTCCCTAGAAAACATTGAAGGGTTTGATCACACAATGGTCAACTCTACGTTAGGAGCATGTGGTGGCCTATCATCGTCAAGCGAAAGCCCTTGTTTACCCTTTTTTATTTGGCAATGTGGAGAGATTAAGGTAATAATTTGTCTTCTTTATATACACTCATTTCATTCCTGAAAACGAAATTCAGCCGTTTTCCTATTTCTTTTTTAATCTTTTAATGGTGTTGAATTACTTCAGAAGCTTAGTGATACATACACCATTATGGAGTTCGATTTGTTAAAACCGTTGAGTTCATGCCATGGGAAAGCAGAGGTAGCAAATTCTCCTTTTAATTTTGTAGGGTCTATTGAGGACAGTAAGCATTGGCATTGATAATAAAAACACATTACAGGTGAGATTCAGAGAAACAGGAGTGTGCCATGGGTTTGCACTTTGGATAGATTGGGTTATGGATTCAAATGGCAGCGTTGTGATGTCAACTGGACCAGGTTCGGTTTGATGAGAATTATTGAATTATATATAACTTGGGATCATGTGAGACTAGCCTGTTTTCGTGTGACCCATGAGACCAGCTTTTTACACGTAAAACTTCACAGTAAAACACCGAAGCCTTCAAGGTGTTTTTGCTGTGAAGCTTTGGAGTTTTTTTATCTTCACAAAGTTTTGCTGTGAAGTTTCAAGTGTAAAATTGTGGTTTCACGGGTCTCATGAAAATAGGTTTATCTCACGTGAACCCAACCCTATATATATATATATATAAAATTGGAAACGTAACAAGTTCTAGTTTATGGTGTTTTGATCAGATGAAAGGTATTGGAAGCAAGGCGTGAAGCTTCTGGCAGAACCATTAGTAGTTAGTAAAAACATATGTTCGACAGTTATCGATGCATCTTTTGATCCATCGACCGGTGAACTTTCGGTCTCATAACGATTCATTGGATGACATTAAGAATGAGTACATTGGATTTTGACAGCCATGGTTGTTGGCTGGCTAAAACCATCGTATCTCACGATTTGTATTATTGGTGTTTGTAATTTTTATATTTTATCATTTTTTTTTAAACTTGGAATTTGGGTTCTTTTATCATTCAAATTTAAGTCATCTGCAGATGTAATACGCCTTTTACTTTTTAAATTCTAAGTTCTTAATCTTGTGAACTATTTGGGTAACAAAATCTTTGAGTGTAGAAATTTAAGTATTTTAAGATATTAGTTTTATATGATTGTAATAAATAATTGTATTAGTCTCTGGAAGACTGCTTTTCCACAAACAAATAATTGTAACAAAATTAAGACAAATATATGTAGTTTTAATAATAAATCATTAAACTTTCTTATTTTGAATAATTAAGTCTCCAAATATTTTCTTAATAAACAAATAATTGGTTTTTTAAATATTAAGGGGGTGTTCGAGATTTGCTTATTTAAAATAACTTATGTTTTTTTTTGGTAAAAGTGCTTATTAACTTATGTGGTATCAAATCGGAGTTTTGTAAAAAATGTTTGGATTAATTTATAGCGGTACCAAAAAGTAATAAACTGATAACATGTTAAAAAAAATTCATCATTTATAATAATTTCTTTGACAAAAATTTATATCAATAAGATTAATAATTAACAAACATTAATAAAACAAAGTTAAAATGGTAAACTGGTAATAAGCAGTTTTTCATAAGTCAGGAAGTATTAACTTTATCAAAAACTGCTTATTACCGGTTTGACACCGGTATAAACAGTTTTATTTTTCCTCCTCCAAACACTAGCATTTAGCATATCACCGGTGCCAAACTGAAATAAGTCAAAAAAACACTTAAAATAAGCAATCTCAAACACCCCCTGATTATGTACATTATTTTAACTCAAAAAACTACTAATAGTCGACTAGGAAGTCTTAAACAAAAGAAAAGCATAAATCAGTTTTATCGATTTCAAATCTTATGTCATAAATTTGCTTTGTACCTAAAGTCACCGCTCCCTATCATCATCTGCTCTCTATCATCGTCGTTGGGCTCTTGCCATCGATCTCCATCTTTTTATTAGGTTTTTTGTTTTTGGATTTTCCCTATTTTTTGGTTTGTCTATACATATTTCATTAAAATGTTGTAAAAGAAGGAGAATCGAAAAAAAAAAAAAACCATATAAAAAAGAGAGGAAGATCGATGATAGGAGCCAATGACGACAATGATTGGTATAAAGAATGGACGATGATTAGGCAACGAAGGGGACCAATGTCATTCAGGAAGGGTTTAAATGGCGTAGAGTTTGTAAATGGTAAAACTGATTTAAGTTTTTTTTTTTTTTTTACTTTCGAACTTTTCTATCTAGTTATATTTAGTTTTTTGAGTTAAAATGATGTAAGTAATCAGTTTTAAAAGTTCAATGGTTTATTTGTTCAAAAAATAATGCTCAAGAATTGAATCATTCAAAATAAAAAAAATTAAAGGTTTATTTATTTAAAGAATAAAGTTTAAAGACTTAATCATTCAAAATAAAAATGTTCCGATTTTTTTATTTAAAAAATAGTTTCTTAATCAATCAAATGGAAAAGTTCTTAGGTCTTTTTTTTATTTTTATTTTCCTTTTTTAAAATAGTTGAACTGGACCATCATACTTCATAAAACTAATAGCCAACCAACAACTTTCTTGTTCTTTTAAAAGCTATTCTTTTCAAAACTACATAAAATCATAAAAATCAAATTGAAAGGATGGAAAATAGAATGAATCATAGAACATAACTGAGGGTTCAAATTCACTAATTATAAATTCGAGATTGAATCCCGTTATATTGCATAGATACTCTTATAGTGTGTGTGTGTATATATATATATATATATATATATAGGTGGAGGTTCAAACGAGAACCCCTGTGATTTACGAGAATGCGAGAACAACCTAATAACCTCAAACTTTTTTAATTAATAAATTAACTTTTATTATATATAAATAATTTAATAAGGGCAATAATGTAATTAAGTAATTTTTATAATTTTTATTTTATTTTAATTAACCATAATTATCCTTTCACGTTCCACGTTTTACTCTTGGTAATTTTCTTCTTCTCCTTGTCGTTCATGATAATCTCCAGATAGTCGATGACTTAACATCTTTTCTTCATATCACACTCCTATCACATGATTATCACACTCATATCACATGATTATCACACCCATATTACATGATTACACCAAAATTTTAACTTATCAACCAAAACGATAACCCAAGTGATGTATAACAGTGATTATCACACCCCTATCACATGATTATCACACACCTATCACATGATTATTACACCCAAATCACATGATGACACCAAAATTTTAACTTATTAACTAAAACGTTAACCCAAGTGATGTATAACGGTGATTATCACACCTCTATCACATAAGTATCACATCCCTATCACATGATTACACCAAAATTTTAACTTATTAACCAAAACGATAACCCAAGTAATGTATAATGGTGATTATCACACCCCTATCACATGATTATCACACCCCTATCACATGATTATCACACACATATCACATGATTATCACACCTAGTATAATTATAACCTATCGAAACCATTCAAAATCGTTGTGATAATGTCTAACATAACCAATTGAAACTATGATGAAATCGAGTGACATTGATATCACATGAGTATCACAACTAATCGATTAAAAACTTATTCAAAACGAGTAATTTTGAAAGATATCTTGAATTTGTCTGCTTGTTGCATACAATGGCTTCTCGATTAGGGTTCTTGGTTGATTAGGGTTGTGTGTTCTTCGTTGATCACCGTCGATCAATGTTTGCTTCCGTCGATTGTTTTTTGTGATTTGAAGTTATGAGTCTTTTTGAATTCGTAACCGTTTACTAGATAATGATAATAATGATCGTGTTTAAAAGATAATGATCGTGTTTAAAAGATTTGATGATATCATTTCCATTATTACCCTTTTAATTTTAAATTTTTTGAATCTTTTTCAATTTCAATTTTAATTTTAAAAATTTTTAATTTTATTTTTTATCACAATATGTGGTTATTGGGTTGTTCTCGCGTTCTTGTAAATCATAGGGGTTCTCGTTTGAACCATTCCCTACATATATATATATATATATATATATATATATATATATACACACTAGAAGACTATTCGTGCAATGCATCGAGACACATTTTCATTTCAATGTTTTATTTTATTTTTTATTCATGTTACGATTTTATGTGGTTTTGAGAAAGCGACAATGTTTATATTTTTGAATAAAATATAAATTTGAAAATATTATGTAAAATTTGCAAAAGATATATTAATATTAGTATCAAATTAACTATTTAAAAATTTTTGTTTGTATATTTTTTTTAATTCAAAATTTTTATTGTAATTTAATTTAACATAACGAAGTAACTTAATTTAAGTTTAATAATATATTTTTTATAAATATAATAATTAGGTATTCTGTTATAACTCAATAATTATCTTATAGATTTTTTAGGTTTTAAAATGAGATGTTTATTCACTATTTGATTATATTTATCCGCAATTAGTTACACGAATCCAAACAAAGAGCTTTAATAAGTTGTACTTATGCACAATTTACTTGTAATCTTAAATTTCAAATAATATGCATTAATAAACAGTACTTCATGCATAAAAATGGTTTTTAAGAGTTTTGTCAAATGCTTTATAATATAGTGTGTGTGTGTGTGTATATATATATATATATGTATATATAGGGTATATTTCAAATGCAACCATGTCCATTTGTACAACCAATGCAACCTGATTAATTGAGATATTTATGGAAATGATGAGAGTTCATTTATTATGATTTGAATATTTATGGAAGATGAATATGGTTCATTAACTATGATCAATACTTTATATTAGAAAACAATCAAAACTTATATGAAATCACATATTCATCAAATTAAATAGACGGTTGAGATTGGGTTGTATTGGTTGTACAAATGTAAAGGGTT